TTGTAACCCAATTTAATTTGCACCCTTACGTGATATCATTCTTTATTGGTATGTAAGAGTAACTTGTACGTAGTCTGTTTGCAAAGAAAAGTTTGACTAAGAAAAGCCTCTCTTTGATCTGTTTCATTGAATATATGTTTGAGTGTCTAACAGGCACTGTTTTAGACCCTGGGAATAGGACCCTGAACTAAGCACAATCCTCCCTCTGTTGGCGAGGCGCACTGTCAGAGGGCATCATTCAGATGAAGTGGTAACTAAGTGAATAAGCAGAGGTGCCTCACTCATCTCGGACAGGTGCACAAAGGAGCTCGGATAGAAACTGATAAACTCCCTGAAGGCAGGGTCTTTGTTTGGCTTTGTTTGTTGTGTTCACTGCTTTATCCCCAGAGCCCAGAATAGTGGTTGGCTCATAATAGGCATTCAATAAACATATATTGTTGATTGAAGAGTTTATTGTTTTGAATTTGTATAATCATAGACATGTACTTTAGTGAATAATTTTTACATTTAGGTAGTTGAAATTTTTATAATCTCAGTTACCTTATTTTTATATTTCTTACCTACATTTTGTTTCTCCTTGTGCCCAGAAATCCAGAAGCAGGAAACATTTATTAATATTAATAATTAGTCCTATGGTAACCTGACATGGCAAAGGATAGATTTTGAAAGCACCTTCAGAGGTCATCTTTTGTTCGGTTTCCTGCCCAGGAAAAACTGAATAAAATAGTTAGGTCTGTATCTTTACTCATTAAACAACTAGGACAACATAATTGGGTTCTCTCTTGAGAAAATCTAGAAAGGTACTTAACCCTAGATATAAAGGTACTAACCTGAAAATGTAGAACTTCTAACTGTGTGGGAGAGTGAAAAAAAACCAAGCCCAACTAAGCTGCTCTTTGTTGATATCAGAAATGGGCCTGTCATTCATTTTGGCATTGAAGCATAGCCTCCTATCTCGGGGGGCAGGACCAGGACTTTTTTTTCCTCCCTGAAGAGCTGGACAGTTATTACAGGTTGAAAAGCCCCGACCAATTTTTTAAGAGTTTGGCTTTTTTTTTTTTTCTTTTTGAAACTCATGGTGTTTTTACTCTGCTTTCAAGATGCGTTAAGGTCTCCTGCGTTTTGACTGCTTTGGAGCCAGCCAGTATCCCGACATGTACAATTCGAATTATGCAGGTTTCATGAGTAAGTTTAATCTTATTTTTTAGCTAGTTAAAATTCAAGTGCGTTTTAGAAAAAGGGAGTTAGGAATTTTATTTCACTACTTTTATTTTAGGTATAATTTAATCAACCTTTACTTTAAAAAAGCAAGATTTTATATTAAAATGTCCCTTTTGTCTCTAAGAGCTGCACTTTCAGTTTCTTTTGAAGTGTCGTTTTGTATTAGATAATATTCATAGGTCTTCTGAAAGACAGTTAACTCATCAATTTTCTTGAGCATCTTTTTAGTTTTACTCAGTATTTTAAATTGAGCTTCCTGAGCTCGATTGCTTATGTCTGACACAGTCTCAAGTTTCCAGTGAATGGTAACAAAGACTGTAGAGTGTTGTGGGTACTGCAGTGAGAGGCATGCTTCTTTAGACCAGGTAAGAGAGATCGTTTTGTTTCTTACTGCTGGGTGAGTTTTTACAGCGCTTATTTTATATAGTTTCAACTGCAGCAAAATTACATTGATAAGTAGCCAAGAGCACGCTGAATTCAAGACGTCCTTGCTTGTTGCAGACAGGAAAACTAGAGTATGGGGGTTGGGATTGGGGGGAAGGGTAGAGTAAGTTTAGTTTATCACTCAGTTACTTATATAAATCAATTAAAATGAGAAAATAATTCCGGAGCTCAGTTTTCTTCATCCAGGAACTAAGGAAGCAGTTGAGGAAATGCATAATTTTAAAGGTACTTCATGGTTAATTGCTTGTGAATGCAATTCAAATGATAGTTTTTACTTTCATTTCTTTCCAGTAGTTAATAAAATAAGCTTTGCCCGCAACTATGCACTTTTTTCATTTATGAAAACTTTTAAATTGTCAACAGTAAAGTATGCTTCCTCAGGATCCTTGGAATAAACCTGACACTTAAAAAAACATTTCAGCTTCTGTGGCTGTTTCATTTTTTTCCCCCCAGTACATTTTTCTTAAAAAGTATTTGTGCTTTGAAAATGTCAGCTGTATTCTAATGAAGCTCGGGCATTGTTTGCACATAAAGGGGCCGGTGCATTCCACAGCTTTATGGTTTATTATGAGGCACAGTGTGAGAGTGTGGGTGGCACCATTTGCTGTCTGCCTCTTGGGGTAGTGACTGCCATTATGTTAGTGTTGGATTGGCAAAGAATATATAACATGCAAGATCCTATGTGAATCTGGATACTGTGAAGAAAATCTTAACCCTAAACAATACCGAGTGAGCCCGGAATGTGTGACAACTTGATTGAGTTGGTCACTTCAAGAATACTCTTGAAGTCTGCGTTTGAGTTACAATGAATATCCTACCAGTCACATCTCTTGTTTTTGGATATATATAACATTTACTCATTCTTTGAACTTTAATAAGGAAATCAATGTTTCTAAGTAAACTATGACATTTTAAGTAGATGCAGTAAAATGCTAAATAATACATTTATTTGGAAAAAAGTTTTAAGCAACTTAGTGTGGGTGGGGAGGGGGAGTGAGAGGGAGAGGAGGTCAGGCAGAGAGCCTTTCTTTCAGTTAGGAAAGCTCTGTGAAGAAAAAAAGCAACAGATGTTTCTTCTGTTACAATTGAGGCTGTTTCATTCAAAATTCACAGTAGCTGAAATGGGGAGGGGAGGTCATAAATCTGACTTAATCAGCGAATAAATAAAACTTAGTTATTTAAATTTATTCTTTTATATTCCGGATTTGAGAATCAGTATAGGGTAACATTCTGAGTAACACCTTTTGAAGAGGCTTCTTAAAATCTTAAACATTTATGTGTAATGGAAATGTGAGAAAGTTAATTTTAGTGCATAAAAAGGTCATTAAATCATGTTAGGGAAAATCATTATAAAATATGTAAGGAATACTGCAGTTGCAACAGTTTGGAATTGCACAATAGGTACTAAGGCTCAAAACGAAATTGCAGTATGAAACATCATTCGAGTATAGTGGTAGATCATTTTATCTTCAATAAGAAGCATGAGACTTATTCCAGAAGGTCTTTGAATCTTCTTTGTGGGAGAAATATTTTAAGTTTATTTGAAATGATGCGTTCCAGTTTGCCTCTAAAAAGAAAGACCATAAGCTTAGATTTGGTTGCTAATGGAAAGAGGGGAAGAGGGAACTGTTTATCTGCTCAAAAGAGTGAGAAAGAAGAACTTGAAAGCTGCATGCATGCCAGGAGAGCTGTAAAGAAATCTACTTGAATTTGTGGGATAAATAATAAGTCACATAAAAACCTTTCCTTTTACTAGTAACATGAAGAGAAGTTCTGTGCACCTAGAAAGTGTGCATTTAATACGCATTTCAACTTTATGCAGTTTCTTAAAAGTTATCTCTTGTAAAACCAGCGTGCCAGATCTTTCACGTATTAGGCACTGATTAAAAATTGGACATACACTACACTGTGAAATTAGTAAAAATATGTACTAGTAATAACCAAAAAATTATTTGAACCATTTATGTATGGAGCAAATAGTAAGTGGTTTTCTAAATGCTTAATGGGTCTAAGGAGAAGACTGGAAAACATACTAATATTCAAGGAGATTATTAAAATTTTCTCTTGCTCTTAACTAGGACCTGTGGTCTACCCTGAAGATTTTCTTTGCTTTAAATAATAATGACAGAATTTAGAGATTTTGAAGCTTTTCAGATCATTGTTTTAATTAAGATTGAGATTCTAGCCCAAGAGGTTTGGCTCAGTGGATAGAGCATTGGCCTGTGGACTAAAGGGTCCCCGGTTCGATTCCAGTCAAGGGTACATGCCAGGGCTGTGGGCTCGATCCCCACTGGGGGGTGTGCAGGAGGCAGCTGATCAATGATTCTCTCTCATCATTGATGTTTCTATCTCTCTCCCCCTCTCCCTTCCTCTCTGAAATCAATAAAGATATCTTAAAAATAAATAAATAAAAATTCTATGCAATATTTTTAAAAAATTGAAATTCTAAAATTGATCTAAGTACATTTGGTTTTTAAAGGAATAGCATTATGTAGCAGTTGAGGATTTTTTCCTCTTTAAGATAAGTAAAATAACTTACTTGGAGTTTAAAGTAGATTTACGAACTATAGATTTGACTAACGTATGAAATATATATGTAACTTGGATGGAATAGACAGCCCTAAAAAAAAAGTTGGTGCCCCCTCCATGGGACAGATAACTGTGGCAGCATCATAGATTGTAGTTATCAAAAATGGGTGTCACTTTAAAAAAATGGGTGTCACTTATGATTATAAATGTAGGCATGAGTTACTTAACAAGGAAAACAGTATCAGCCACAGTAATGCAGAAATAGCTGAGACTATTGACCCTTCAAATTAAGAGGAATATACTGAAAGGTTCTGGAATAAGGTGTACCTGTGGTTCTTGCCTTATATGTGAACTCTTTAGCACAAAACTGAGGGCTGGGGAATCTGAGCCTTACCTACTCATTGTTCTCCAAGTCAGAATACCAAGAGAGTGACTGATTTAGGTATTCTCTCTGCTTTACATATGTGTGTGCAATTAGAAACAATCTCTGGGGAAGATTTGTCTGATGCCTGTATTTTTTTGAAAAGAAAACTTTTATATTATTATTTAGGAGCAGGTAAAATAGTATGTGTACTGTGCTTTAAGTATATATATAAGTATATTAACTCTATATTGTATGAAGGGGTCCAAGAACCCATCATGTAATAGAATGATTTCTTTCTACCAAATTTCAAGCAACCAATTATGAAATGAACTTTTTGGGATCTTGACTCTAAAGCTAGAGATCACCAACAGGGGGGCTTTGTTTTCGGCATTTTGCTCACGTGTGTTGCAAAGTTTGATAACTCTTGGCAATTTCTCTGACAAAAATATGAGGAGACTGTTAACTGAGCATTTAGGCAGGGGTCCTCAAACTTTTTAAATAGGGGGCCAGTTCACTGTCCCTCAGACCGTTGGAGGGCCGGACTATAGTTTAAAAAACAACTATGAACAAATTCCTATGCACACTGCACATATCTTATTTTGAAATAAAAAAACAAAACGGGAACAAATACAATATTTGTATTTGCATGTGGCCCGCGGGCCGTAGTTTGAGGACCCCTGATTTACTGTGTGCTAGGTAGACCCAGTAGAGGTTTGCAAAATCTTTTAATGGATAAAATTTTAATACAAAAGATTTTGTTGACATTGATGTCTGTCTAACTTTAAGATTTCTTGCTTCACTTAGCCGGTGTGGCTCACACACTGAAGGATCACGGGTTTGATTCCTAATCAAGAGCAAGTACCTGGGTTGCAGGTTCAATCCCCTTACCCCGGTTGGTCAGTCTCTCTCTGTCTCTCTCTCTCTCTCTTTCCCCCCTCCCTCCCTCTCTTCCTCTCTTCCTCTCTTCCTCCCTTCTACTCTCTCTAACCCCTAAACCCCTCCCTCCTTCTCTCCCTTCCACTCTTTCTAGAAAATATCCTCGTGCAAGAATTAGCAAAACAAAAAAAGTAGTTTCAGTAACAGCTTTCAAGTGAAGCATGTTGAAATAAGAATATTGATAACCTGCAGTTTTGAATGAGCTACTTAGTATATATAGTATTATGGAATACAATGATTCCCTTCTTTAATTTGCTAAGGAATGGAAAGAACTGCTTTAAAACTCTTAATTCATGGGTCTTTGGTCTTTTTGAGTTTGTGTCTTAAAGTTTTAAATTTATTTTAAGAACAGAACTTTTAAATTCTAGATCTGTCTGCAGTCTTTGGCGTCTTTTATAAATATTAGAAAAATAGCTCTCTTGACTGTAAATTTAAAGTGATTTCTTTGTTAGCACTGTCTGGGGCAGGGTGCCATTTCAGAGGGGTTGTGGGCTTCTTCACGAGGATTTCCAATGAAGAGCCCTTGGGGATTCTAATACTCAGAAGTTCTGATCCTTGTGGTTGCACCAGCTGCCTTGATCTGCTCCAGTCGTTCAGTAGCTGTTGGTATGAGATAAAACGCTCTGCTTCCCGCTCCTCTTAGTTCCTGGGCATGCAAACAGTGTCTGTGTGCCATCTGGTGGGTGTACCGGCTGTGGTGACAGTGCTAAAAGTAGTGGTTGAAAATAGGTTAGACATTGCAAAGATATAACATTTACGAAAAAGAGACTGAAGAAATGAGGGTCACTCAGCCCCCTCTCTCTTTAAAATGAAAATAGAGGTAAGTGTAGAGGAAAGAATCTACTTATACTCCATTATTTCCTTTACTTGAATAAAGAGAAAAACTTGAAACAGCCTTTCCCAATCTTGTGTGATCATAAGAATCATCTGAGGCATTTTTTAATAATGCGCATTCCACCTAGTTTCAGATTCTTTAGTGTCAAGTGGATTTCAGGAATGTGTGTTTTGAATAAGAGGGTCACTACCCTCTCTAACTCCCCTAACACACAGTGCATTTTATAACCAGATACATTTGGGAAGAATTGCTGTGATGAATTGGAATGACCAAGTTTGAGGCCATATGGTAAATGTAGCCAATTATTAATCAGAAGATACATTGTCCCAAAATGGGGAATTCTAATTAAGCAGGTGGAAAAGAAATGAGGACATTAAGAATTAAAAGGTTTCCTTGGCTGAGCAAGATAATAGAAAAGGGACAAAATGACATGTTTTAACAAAAGATGAAGAAGCCAGTGAAACAGCAGTAGGATCAAATTTGTAGATGAGACAAATGTTTTTGGATAGACATTTAAAAAATATGAAAGGGAAAGGTCTCACCAAAGGAACCTAATGAGAATGGATTGAATGATTTCTAAGATCTTTTAGCTTTGAGGTTTGATGAATTAAATGAAAGCAATTATAATAGCCCAGATACCAGAGCTTGAATTAAGGAGTTCCTTTAAGAAATGAAGAGGTGCTGTTTAAATCCTGGCATGTGGGAAGATGGGAGAAGAACTTTTTTTTTCTCCTTTCAAATTGAAAAATCCAGGGCATTTATGGTTCTGCATAGCAGATAAAGAAGGAACTTGCTCATTTTAAAAGATGTCCTCTAAGTCAAAATGCTTATCAAAGCCAAGAGAATAGATTTGATCCTCTAGGGAAAGTATGTAGGAAAGACTGACATAAAAGATTGAATGACTCATTTAGGAGTATGCCCTTAGGGCTAGAGCTATTTCTTGTTATGGCCATTTCAAGATCCCTTTCTTTGGTTCCTGGGGAGATTCTGGTTAGGTGTCTGTTGGGGGAATCCTAGAAGTCCTGCATTCTCACAGTTGCAGAAACAGGCTCTTGCTTCCATGCCATGACCTGGAGGAACGTGCATTTCAGATCCTCTGCCCTTACCTCTGCACTAGAGGATGCTTGTTCTCTATTTCGGAACCAACTACAGAGGGAAAGGTTTTAGAGGTCACTTTAACCATTGTACTTTGGAGAGATTACGAACTTTTATCTTCTGTTTCTCACTCCTCCCATTTATAGCAATATTGTGGTCACCCACATTGAAAAGTTTAGATTTACTCTTAGGAAGTTTGGTGAATATGATTGAGTACAAATGCAATAAAATGCAACATAACAGGGTTAAAATGTGCAGATCAGTAATGCACATTATAGCAATACTAGTAGCTACCTATAAATAGAATAACAACTTTAAAATTTGAATATGTTTAATTATAAAAATGAAGGCAGTCAGAGTAACTACAAGGTTTATTTATTTACCTTTAATCCTGACCTGCACATTATACATGGGTGTGCTATTTTACTTACAGGTTTGGTATTTCTAGTTAGATATGTTATCTTTTTACATTAAGCATGAGTTATTAATACATGTTTCATTTATAAGATAATGCTGTTGATCTATGGGGCCTGAGTATTTTCTAAATAAAGGTGATATCCATCCCCTGAGCCATCCATGTCGTTTCTCCCTAGTCCACTGTCTTCAGTGACAGATAACTGCTTTCTAGGTGGCTGGTTGGCTGAAGGTTGTGGGATCTTTTCTCTCTGCAAAATGAATTGGCCTATTCCAGAACCAGTCTGTGACTTGATCTATTTGAAATGAACCGATAATCCTTTACAACAGGTATTCATAAGTAGTTAAAAGGAAATGTTAATCTAGTCACTGTTCATCACTAATGAATAAAGCATGTGATGCTGTCACATAAACAGCAGATCAGTGGAGCAGAATAGAAAGGTAATAAATTGACCCAAATAAGTAAAAAGATCAAGGTTGCATTTTGTATCACATTGTGGAGTTGGGGAGTGGATTATTCATTAAAAGTAGCCATCTGGCCCTAGCCAGTTTTGCTCAGTGGATAGCGCATCGGCCTGCAGACCAAAGGATCCTGGGTTTGATTCCGGTCAAGGGCATGTACCTTAGTTGCAGGCTTCTCCCTGGCCTGGGCCCTTGGTCAGGGCTTGTGCAGGAGGCAACCAATCGATTTGTTTCTCTCACATTGATGTTTCTCTCCGTCTTTCCCTCTCTCTTCCACTCTCCCTAAAAATCAATGGAAAAATATCCTCGAGTGAGGATTAACAACAACAACAAAAAGTAGCCATCTGGAAAAAAAGACAATTGGAACTTGCACTTCTCACATCAAATAATTTCAGATGGATCAAGCATGTAAAGTCTTAAATGAAGGCATTTAACTATTACAAGAAAACATGGGGAGTATTTTATACCGTCTTAGCATATAACTAATGAGAATTCATTTCAAAAAACAGCATATCCGCCCTAACCGGTTTGGCTCAGTGGATAGAGCATTGGCCTGCGGACTAAAGGGTCCCAGGTTCTATTCCGGCCAAGGGCACATGCCTGGGTTGCTGGCTCTCGATCCCCCCCAGTGGGGGGCGTGCAGGAGACAGCCAATCAGTGATTCTCATCATTGATGTTTCTATCTCTCTCCCTTCCTCTCTGCAATCAATAAAAAAATATATTTAAAAAACAAAAAGAACAGCATACCCAACTGGAAATACCGAACCTGGAGGCAAATAAAATATGCATAGCATGTTCATATACAGTGTACACCTCTAGGGTATAGAGCAGCCGTGGGCAAACTACGGCCCGCGGGCCAGATCCGGCCAGTTTGAAATGAATAAAACTAAAAAAAAAAAAAGACTGTACCCTTTTATGTAATGATGTTTACTTTGAATTTATATTAGCTCACACAAACACTCCATCCATGCTTTTGTTCCGGCCCTCCGGTCCAGTTTAAGAACCCATTGTGGCCCTGGAGTCAAAAAGTTTGCCCACCCCTGGTATAGAGGAATGATAAACTTTGTAGTTACGCTGACTTCCTTTATTTTTATGTTTGAATATAGACCTCTATGTATGATATAAAAGTCATAAAAGGGACGAACTATAAAATTGACTGCATTTTTTTTAATGTGCAAAGAAAGGCATATATAAAAAAGCAAAAGACAAAGGTCAAATTGGTACAAATAATTGCAGCATGTATAACAAAGAATATACTAATTCCTTCAATATATAAAGAGGGTCTATCAATAAAAAAAAAATCACTAACAGCCAATAGAAAGATGGGCATAATTCTCAGGAAGGAAAATTTAGATGACTTTTAAACAAAACAAGTCAGCCTTATTCATAATAATAAAACCAAAATAGAATAAAAATTAGATACTATTTTTAACCTAAAAATTGACAGAAGTAAAGTTTGATAACATAGAGTTGGTAAGGATATAAGGGAATAGACACTTTCATACATTTTGAAGGGAGGGTAAGTTGGTACAACCAATGTGTGTAAAGAGTCATTGCAGTATTATTTGTAGGAATAAAATATTTTACTTTTAAAAGTGTTTGTAATACGTAGTCCATTACTAAAAGACTCAATAAGTAAACTGCTATAGCCATAAGAAGAAATACTATGTAGCTAACAAAGAAAACATTGAGGCAAACTACATAAGATAAATGCCTGTTACTAAGTGTGAAAAAGCAACATGCAAACTGATACAGTATTCAATCTTATATGTAAGGAAAAGGGATGTTTATGCTTTTATGTTTATATATGTCTAGCCATAACCGGTTTGGCTCACTGGATAGAGCGTCGGCCTGCGGACTCAAGGGTCCCAGGTTCGATTCTGGTCAAGGGCATGTACCTTGGTTGCAGGCACATCCCCAGTAGGGGTGTGCAGGAGGCAGCTGATCTATGTTTCTCTCTCATCGATGTTTCTAACTCTCTATCCCTCTCCTTTCCTCTCTGTAAGAAACCAATAAAATATATTTAAAAAATAAAAATAAATAAATAAATATATATGTCTAGAATATTTCTGGAAGCTTATAAATGAACTGGCACCAGGAGCTGTCTCTAGAGAAGGGAATGGTTAGATGGTAGTTGAGGTTGGGAGGAAACTTAGTTTTCACTGTATACTCTTGTCTCATGAATTTGTATCATCGGCTTCCATCATTCATTCATTCACCCAACACGTATTTGTTGAACTCTGCTGTATCCCAGGTACTATGCTAGGTGCTAAAGATAGAGCAGTGAATGAGATAACAAAGCCCTATCCTTGCAGAACTTAGGATTCTAAGAGTGGGTGAGGCTATGGATAGCTAATAATTTCATAAGCAAGTAAATATAAATGTGCAATATGTCAGTAAGAGGTCAGTACGGGCCTAGCGAGTAAATATAAGTGTGCAGTATGTCAGTAAGAGGTCAGTACAGGCCTACCTCGTTTTATTGTGCTTTGCTTTATTGTGCTTCACAGATGTTGCATTTTTTACAAATTGAAGGCAAGACCCTCTACCAGCAGAAAGATTACGACTCACTCTATTGTGGTACTCGCTCTAATTGCGGTGATTTGGAATGAACCCTCAATATCTCTGAGGTATGCCTGTACTCTGGTGAAAAAATCATAGTAAGTAAGGAAGTGCTGATATAGGCTGGTCAGAAATCTCTGAAGCAGTGATGACTGAGCAGAGACTTGAAGGAAGCTGGGGAATACGGCACGGCACGTAGAGATATCTGGGGGAAGAAAGTTGCAGGCAGAGGAAACTAAGAACAGAGGTCATGAGCCATAAATTTGCTTGGCATGTCTTGAGGAATAACCGAGAAGTCTGAATGTAGTGGAATGAAGTAGGGAGAGATGGACAGGTAATGAGGTCAGAAACAAGTGGTACTGGTAGCATAGGGCTCGGCTCTGTAAAGCTGTATGACGTTTACACCGACAGATGCAAGGCCAGCTGGATGTTTTGAAGGTAATTGCTCCACATAGCACAATTACTCTGACTGCTGGGTGGGGGTAGGACAGTGTTCATCACTGGAATAATGTGAGCTGCTTATGTAACTTAACATTTTCTAGTAGCCACATTTAAAAAGGTAAAAAGAAACAGGTAAACTTCACTTTAATGATAGATTTTATTTAACCCAATATATCTGAAATTATCATTCAGCATGTAATCAATATTAGCACATTATCAACTAGATACTGTACATGTTTGGGATACTTGGCCTTCAAAATCTGATGAGTATTTTACACTTAGATCAGATCTCAATTTATTTTTTATTTTTTATTTTTTTTTAAAGAGAAACATCGATCAGCTGCCTCCTGCACATCTCCTACTGGGGATGTGCCCGCAACCCAGGTACATGCCCTTGACCGGAATCGAACCTGGGACCTTTTCAGTCCGCAGGCCAACGCTCTATCCACTGAGCCAAACCGGTTTCGGCCAGATCTCAATTTAGATGTTAAATTTTCTCAACAGTTAAGGTGACATGTAGTACTATCAAAAGGGAAACTATTTTATACTGCTTTAGTTTTTAAGTTTAATTAAAATTTAGTAAATTTAAAATTTCAAGTTCTCAGTCACACTAGTCACATTTCAAGTGCTTAATAGCCACAAGTGTCTAGTGACTACTGTATAGGACAGCATTAGAATAGAATTGGGGGCAGAGGTGGGAATGCAGAAGCAGGTTGATGAATCAGTAATTTAAACAAGAGATGGTGACTTGGACCAGAGTGATAGCAGTGGAGTGGGTGAGAAGAGGTATTCAAGATAAATTTTAAAGATAGAGCTGACGGGATTTATTATTGGAGTGAATGTAGGATATAAAAGAAAGGGAGAAGTCAACAGTGATCTTTGAGGAATAGAGTTGGCATTTACTGAGATGAAGAGAGATGGGAGAAGGAGGCTTCGGAAGGGATGGGGAGCAGTCAGGAGTTAGATTTGGGGTGTTAAGTTTGAGATACTTACTAAACATAAAAATGGGGATACAAGAAATGATAGCTGGATATGTGAATCTGAAGGTTAGGAGAGAGGTTTAATCTGAAGAACTATATGTGAGAGACAGCAGACCACCTAGGGAGGAAGAGTTGGAGGACCAAACCAAGGGGCTTCCGAATGTTTTTAGAGAAGAAGCCAGCAATCAAGACAGAAGAAGCCAGTGAGTTAGAAGAACCATAGAGAATGGTGGTTTGGATGCCAAATGAAGAGTGTCTCAAAGGAAGGTATGAGTTTTTTTAAGCATCTAATAGTTTAAAGTAACTTGAAAGCTGAGAATTGACCATTGGATTTAACAACATGAAGATGATCTTGACAAGAACTGTTTCAGTGAAGTTGTTGGGGAGAAGTGGGAGTGGGTTTAAAAAAACAACAACAGTGGAGAAATGGAGCTTGCAAATGTTGATGGGTTTTGTGAATTTTGCTGTAGAGTGCAACAGAAATGAGTTGGGAGCCAGAGTTATGCATTGTTTGCTTTTTAGATGAAAGAAATACGGCATGTTTCTGTGTGAATGAGAATGATCTAGCAGAGAGGGAAAGATGGCGATGATTCAGGAGACTTAAAAGAGACAGTACCTGGAGAGATGTCATTTAGACAAATACATGAGCTACCTGTTTAAAAAATAGCCCCAATTGAGATAACAGAAGAAGAGAAACAAAAGCGTTGTATTATCTGTAATTAGTCTCTTACTAATAAATATAAAATTGTGTAGGTCACTTTTCCCCATTATTTTTTTTTTTTTAATTAAGGTACTAGACGGCCTGGTGCATGAATTTGTGCATGGGTGGGGTCTGGCCGCCTGCCCCAATGGGGGCCGATTGGGGCAGGGCCGGTGGGGGGGAGGGGACGCGGGAGGTTGGCCAGCCAGCCCTGCCCCCGGTTGGGGTGGGAGGCGGCCGCTCAGGGGCCAGGCTGGCTTTGGGGGGGGAGGGGCCACAGGCGGTTGGGCAGGGCCCATCGGCCCGATAGGACCAGTTGGCCGCTGCAATGCGTGTCATAGCGACCTGTTGTTCCGTCATTCCAGTTGCTTGGCTTTTATATATATTGATAATTTACATGTAGTAGATTACATTTGATAAACACATACACCACCACAATCTAGGTCATATTAAAACTTTTATATTTAAGGCTGTAGGCCTGCTTGTCCTATGAGGTTGGAACCTGTACATATGTGATATACAACTATTTCTGCTTTGACATATTTGTAAACCCATAAAATAGGCATATTCTTTCCTACAGTAAGTTACTAATTTGGTTCTACTAGGAGGATGTGATACAGGCTTGGGTTAGGAAGGTTTTTCCAAAAGCTAATTCAGACAAAAAAACAATTTTTTTTCCAGAAAGTCAGTGCTGTGAAAAAATAATTTATACTGGCATCATGTAGACAAACCACAATTATTTGACTGCTTTTTTTTTTCATTTTAATTGGACATATTGAAGGTGATTAACTGGAACTGGAAGAATGATGAGTGAAAGAAATCACTACTGTCTAGACAATTCTAATGGAAAACAGAAAGTTCCATTTACTCAAAATTGAAATAAATTTTGAGTCAAAATTTTGTGTCTGTGCCAAGATTTGGCATAAGGTTTTACCTCTTTTTCCTAGCCACTTCCCAAGGTGATTGATCTCATTTAGTTAATTCAGGGAATTTCCAGAACCAAAACCCAGGCAGGTCTCTAAGTTTTTGTTTTTAATAAGTGCATCAAGTACCAGGAATTGGCTTCTGGACAGTATTGGGTCCCTGTTGCCAAGAAGCTGGGAATTATGGCCAAGCCATTATGCAAAAATGTTTAGACTTGGTTTGGTTTTACTTCTTTTAACCTGACAGGTATTTTGGGGACTGAATGTTTGTAACCTATTTAAATATGTCCTTTTGACCTATTTATTATTTTGACCTAGTTTATTCAGTGAAAGTAAATTGTGTAAATACGTACATGGCTTTTATTTTTGAATAATACAACTATTGAAATCCCAGTGGAGCCCCTTTAATTGCTTATAAAACAGATTTTATTTTTACTAATAAAAAAAAATGCAACCTGGCCTGTGTGGTTCAGTGGTTGAGTGTTGACCAATGAACCAGGCTGTCACTGTTCAATTCCCTGTCCAGGCACATCTCTGCCAACTCAGGGCATTATCTACCTACTTAATCTTCATCAATCTGGTAGATGAAAATTTTTCTTTTTTTTTAAGTTTTAATTTTTTATTATTAAAATCAAGCATTTTTCATATGATCATTGACATTACTATTTCTTCATGTATTTGGCTTATTTTTATATTAGGGTATTGTCTTATTGTCATTGATTTATAAGTGGGAAGTTAAATAAAAATTCTTAAGGATAGTAATCCAGTGATCTATGTGTTGCAGAATTGTTTATCAACTCTGAGATCTCTTTTAAGTATATTTGGTCTGTTGTTACTTAGATAATACTTATTTTTAGGTAGTCAAATCTGTCAGTCTCTTTTCAGTTAAGATTTCTAAATTCTATAACATGCTTGGAAGGGCCTTCCTTATTCCCAAATTATTAAAAAAATAGTTTTATTTCTTCTAATACTTCTATGGCTTTACTTTTCTTTTTCCTTTTTTTTTTACAGTTTTAATTTTCATATTTAAATATTTTATCTTTCTGGAATTTATTTTTGTGCAAGATGAGAAATTGAAATATAAGGTTTTGTTTAGTCAGATGGACAATTTTTTGTTTCAACAAGTGTTTCTAAAATATTCCATCCTTTCTTCATTGGTTTGAAATGCTACCTTTACCATATATAGAATTTTCATATAGAGATGAAGTACTTTCTGGACTTTAATTTCTCTTTTGTGAATCTGTTTATCTGGTTCTTAGCCAGTGTCACATTATTTCAGTCACTTTAGCGAAGTAATAATTTTGAAATCTGGTAGGCTAAAATTCCCTTTTCCCCATTATTCCTTTTTTTTCAATATTCTTGGCTGTTCTACTCAATATTCTTGGCCTTTCCTCTTCTACTTTAGAATCAATTTTATTAAGTTTCCTCTAAATTCTTTTGTATCAGTTGACATGATATTTCTCTTTTTGGTTTTGACCAATGTTTTATATTCTTCATTTTTTTTTAGTGTTAGGGTTAAAATTGGGGTCAAGTGGTTTCCTAACCCTAATTATCTTTTTTTGTTGCTTTACTGTTTTTGGCGTTTGCTCCTAACAGTGTATTAGAGATGACCTCATCTTAAACATTCAGCAGTATTAAGATCATTTTAAAAATCTATCTGAGCCCTAGCTGGTTTGGCTCAGTGGATAGAGCATTGACCTGCAGACTAAAGGGTCCCAGGTTCAATTCTGGTCAGGGCACATGCCTGGGTTGTGGGCTCGATCCCCAGTAGGGGGCATGCAGGAGGCAGCTGGTCAGTGATTCTCTCTCATCATTGATGTTTCTCTCCTTTTCTCTCTCTCTCTCTCTCTCTCTCTCTCTCTCTCTCTCTCTTTCTCTCTCTCTCTCTCTTCCTCTGTGAAATCAATAAAATATATATTTTTAAAAATCCATCTGAGAGCCAGACTTTTCCAGGCTGTTCTTCTTCACATGGATCTGTGGTGTGTGCTTTTGCCTGGGGCTGAGTTTATGGCATGTATGTATCAGTTACATAGCTCTTCCTCCCCTAGAATCATAGATTATTCTCCAGTTTGGCAGATTCTTAAACTATTGAATAACCATATTTAGAGAGTTTTTATTTTATTTTATTTATTTATTTAATATTTTACTGGTTTTTTACAGAGAGGAAGGGAGAGGGATAGAGAGTTAGAAACATCGATGAGAGAGAAATATCGATCAGCTGCCTCCTGCACACTCCCCACTGGGGATGTGCCCGCAACCAAGGTACATGCCCTTGACTGGAATCGAACCCGGGACCCTTGAGTCCGCAGGCCGACGCTCTATCCACTGAGCCAAACTGGTCAGGGCTAGAGAGTTTTTATAATAACCTTAATCTTTAGCAATTAATAGGATGTTATTTTTTAAAAAAATTTTTATTGATTTCAGGGAGGAAGGGAGAGTGAGAGAGAGAGAGAGAAACATCCGTGATGAGGGAATCATTGATCATCTGCCTCCTGCATGTCCCCTATTGGTGACTGAGCCCACAACTTGGGCATGCGCCCTGACCGAGAATTGGACCGTGACTTCCTAGTTCATAGGTCGATGCTCAACCTATGAGCGGCGCTGGCCAGGCAGGACTGGATATTCAAATTTACTTCAAACTTAGTGTAAGCTATGATACCTGTTAAAAAGTAAGAAAAGATACAATGTAGGCTACATTACAGGAAGTATGGCATCCAGATTAGAAAAGGTAATAGCTCCAATCTATGCTAACCAGTTTTTATAGACTCATACAGTGATTTTGTACCAGGGACTAAACCAGATGCTAGGGTGCGAAGCTGAGAGACATAGCCCACTTATAGTAGAACTATTGGTAAATGGTAATAGGCTCTATGAAAAGCCAGAGGAAGGGGATCCAGGCCCTAGACCACAGAGGCAGGGACAGCATTTAAGGAGGAGGTGCCACAGAGCACAGGCTGGAGAGGTGGAGCCATGGCCCTCACCAGCTATGAGACCTTGTACAAATCATTTAACCTCACTCTGTCTCATTGTCTTCATGTGTAAAAGGAAGTCAGTAGCAATGTATTTCACACGGTTATCCTGAGCATTAATGAGGTGATGTATATATGTGAAGTCTCTAGAGTAGACTCTGGCCCACAGTAGTAACTCAGGAAATGGTATGAAATCCCATTTTGAAGTGTTAGAAGGTAGTTGTCCCATCAGAGACAGACTTCCCAGCTGAAGGAATGGTGTACACCAAAGCCGGGGGAGTTAAGCTGGGCCTTTTCGGGACTGCAGAGTATTTCATGATTGGAGTGTGGGGTGCCTGGGGGGAGTCGCTAAAATAAAACTGGGAAGGGAGGCTTCTGTTTGGAGACCAGGAGCTTTGTGCCGTGTTGAGGAATCTGAGAGGCATTTAGGAAGTGTCCTGGGGTCCTTGAAGGTCTGAAGTTGAAGGGGAGTGTCCAGACCAGTTTCACCAGTTGAAAGACTGGTTTGTTGTAGATGTGTGGATGGGGAGGGGAGCTGTTTGAAGTGAACAGTGGTGCTCAGCCCTGGCTGCGCTGGGAACCATCTGGAGAACTTTTAACGGTCTGGTGCCCAAGTTGCCTCTATATCAATTATATCAACAGCCCTGGGGGTAGAACCCAGGCATTGCTTCCCAGACAGTCCCACTGCACAGCCACGGTTGTGAACCATGGTAACTGCATTCAAACCAGATTTGATAAAGTTCTCAATTAAAGAAGTGCCCACCAATTAAAGGATCCAGGGAATGATAAGTAAGATATGGTGGTCAGTTGGTTGAGGAGGGGGTTGATTATTTCTGGAGTGGGTCTCTGGGTGGACGTTGATCAATGCTCAGTTGTATACCAAGACTGAGAACATGAAAGAGAAGCAGATTTGGGTCTGAGGCTTTATTGAGTGAGCATGAGAAAGATAATGTGATTTTAAAATGTGGATATCGAGGGAAAATGATACCCAACCAATGGGCAGAGAGGGAAACTGAAGGGGCAGAGCCAATGGTATAGTTGAAAACTCAGGGGACAGTGAGTACATAATTGATGACTAAGATGCTTGAGGAGACTGGAAGTGTAGAGCAGACATGAAAGAAGTAATTTATATGAGAATTTCCACTCAGAGAGACACAAGTAAAAGTATGTGAGGGTGCAGATAGGTCACAGGTTGAGGAAGAAGGGCTGTCAGTTAGTCTGATGGTCTGTTATCCTTACTGCAGGGGACATGAGTATCTCTGAGAATCAGGAGGTGAGAGAAGGGGATTAAGGAGTATGAGCGAGTTTAGTGAGCTGAGGAAGGAAGTGTCTTTGTAGCCCTGCTCTTAAATGTTGGTTTTTTCCCGGAGTTTCAGGATTGACTCTCCTTCACATATATACTTGCTGGGTAATCTCCTTCGTTACATCACATTACACTGCTACTTTCTAGGAGAAACTTTGATAAACTGAAGTTTGGAGCAGTTAAGTAGTTGATATGGTATTTCAGAAGATTATTGGTTGGCTTAGGGGGGCGATGCCCTGATACCATAATTCAGTGGTTCTCAACCTTCCTAATGCCACGACCCTTTAATACAGTTCCTCATGTTGTGGTGACCCCCAACCATAAAATTATTTTCGTTGCTACTTCATAACTGTAATTTTGCTACTGTTATGAATCGTAATGTAAATATCTGATATGCAGGATGTATTTTCATTGTTACAAATTGAACATAATTAAAGCATAGTGATTAATCACAAAAACAATATGTAATTATATATGTGTTTTCCGATGGTCTTAGGCGACCCCTGTGAAAGGGTCGTTCAACCCCCAAAGGGGTTGTGACCCACAGGTTGAGAACCGCTGCCATAATTTAAAATTTAACCCTTTTCGGTCCAACGTGGAGGCTGACTCGACAGACCAGGCACTAGGAGCAGGTCCAACATCAAGGCTGAGGTCGACACCACAAACCTGTTCAACATTCAATCCCGTCAATTAATTTGGACCAGACTGTTTGAATTCCAAAAATAAAATTGGACCGCAAAGGGTTAAAGTGTTGAAATCACTTGAAAATCCTACAATTTCCAACATTTTTAACCTAGGTAGCATTATATTTTTTTTTCTCTATTGTAGTGAAACGTCAAAAAACTACCAACTTGATATTTTGAAAACATGTTAACTTTTAGTATAAATATTTTATATTTATATTATAAAGAAATTCTAATATGCTTTCTACTTTATTTTATTTTTTTACTTTATACTTTTTTTGTTCTATGTCTAATAAAGATCTAACTGAATTTCTCAACTCTGATATTAACTATTAGAGGCCCGGTGCACGAAGTACATGCACTTGGGGCGGGGGGGGGGGGGGGGGGGGCCACCCGG